ACTGGACCATCCTGTGTGGAGGGTCAGCCTGCTTGGAACACAAAGGTCTATCAAGTCTCCTCAGTGTTCACATACCTCCAACTTCCCACTTCCCATCATCTGTTTAAGGAAATTCAAAATTCTACTGCCTTGGGGCCAAACCCTTTATTCCTTTTTTTTTTTTTTTTTTTTTTACCAAGATTGCTCTTAGCTGCCCTTCACCCCCTTGGCAGGAAAGAGGAACTCCGGGTCACCCTCCTTCTCTAATGCAGCCCAGGCTGCTCTGGCCCCTCTCATTTCCGCACCCCATCACTTCCCAGGGTCTCTCAATGCCCTCCTACAGCACGTCCCCCGCTGACCCTGCAGTGGCTGGTACCAGCTCAGCCTTCACCAGGTCCTTGCTCACTCTCGATGCTCTAGAGCCTGGCTTCTTCAGACTGTCTTCCCCACTCGGAAGCACAGGAATGCATCCGGCTCCGCCCTCGCAGCCCCCTTTCTCCTGCTGTTGGCTGTTGCTGACCTCTCTGGCGGTCCTGGCCACGGCCTGGAGCTCTGGCCTCCACACAGCACCTGCAGGCCAGTGAACGGCCATGCCCAGCCCTGTGCCCTGCCCACCATCCCATCCAGGTGGCGCTGGCACTCACATACCACGACAGGGACCTCCCGGGTGCAGGGACTGCAAACACAGCTGGGGGGGGGCCAGCGCTGTCCTGAGGCACAAGCGCTTTCCAGGCTGCGGTTAGGCTCGAGCCTGCAAACTGCCCCTGGAGGCAGTTCTCCCACTTCCCCATCGTTAGATCGGCATAATCTTGATGCACCCAGGCCCCTGGAAGCTGTGTGTTCTAACGCAGACGACAGGCTCATCCTCACACCTTTCTATTCACTTAAGAGAAAAGATGCTTTAGAAATAAAAATGGGGTCTGGAGAGGTGGCTCAGAGGGTAAGAGCACTGGCTGCTCCTCCAGAGGTCCTGAGTTCAATTCCCAGCACCCATAGGGCAGCTCACAACCATTTATTGTAAGATCTGGTGCCCTCTTCTGGCCTGCAGGCACACATGCAGATATTGTATACATAATAAATAAATTAAAAAGAAAAACAACTGACCCTGTGGGAAGCTGACCTGGATGTCAGCAAACACATCTGCAAAAAACGGGAGCAGCTGGCCTTGCTGCTTTTGAAGCGTTGTGGTCTTTTAAGTCCCCAAAGCTTCCCTGATGTCACTGGCTGCCCCTAAGCCTAGCTCTGGGGCTGAGCTGGCACGGTGGGTAAAGCGCTTAGTATGCAAACATAGGAGTGGGGTCCCGACCCCAGAATCCGTGTGGACACCGGGAGCACAGCTGGGTGTCTGCAGTGCTAACCCCGGGTGCTGGCGGGAAAGGGGAGACCCCGAGCTGGCCGGCCAGCTGGTCTAACTGAAGAAGCAAGCCCCACATTCAGAGAAAGACACTGCCTCAGCACGAGAGGGAAGTCTGCTGGCAGCCTCCGGTCTGCACCTGTGCGCAGACACGTGAAGCACACACGTGCACACGCAATACTCAGGCACTTCCACACTCTCCTCACCAGTGAGGGGGGGGCCGGAAAGGGCCACTGGGCACAGAGCTCCCACAGCTTAATAATACTGCTGCTTAAAAAAAAAAAAAAAAAAATCAGTGTTGGCCTAGCATGCTAGCATGCACCGTTAGTCCCAGCGCTCAGGAGGCAGAGCCAGGCGGAGCTCTGCGAGTCTGAGGCCAGCCTGCTCTACCTATACAGTGAGTTCCAGGACAGCCAGAACTACATAATGAGACCTTCTCACACACATACACTCTTACAGTCACACAGACGAGAAGACACTACCAAAACTCCACAAGCCAGTGACCTTCCCCAATTGTAAAATTGACACCATGTGGTAGCCCAGCCAATTAACAAAGATAATTCCCAGCCAGGCTGCAAAAGTACCCACAAGCTGCTCAGCACTGAGGGGACCCTGCCACACTCATGTGGAAAATGGGGGCTTCACTCAGCTACAGTCCAAGTTCTAGTCACCCTGCTTCCTGCGTACAAGCACGTGCTAAGACTATCAGCTCTGCACAGGTGCTACACGAGTCCAGCAGCAGCTGTCATGCAAGCCGAGGCCGAAGGAGTCTGCCGGGAACCACCAGAGCTAATGGACACCAGCCAGATTTTGAACCCATCCACGGCTCCAGCTAAAACCTGTAACTACTACACAAACCCAGGCCCCAGGGGAGGGCAAGTCCACTGGCTTCCCAAGGCCAGGCTGAGGGACAAGGATGAAAACGCCAGGTCATCACTGGGAGCCACGCTGCACACGTGGCTTCCCAGGGAACATCTGAGCACTGTTAGGATGCCCGCTTCTGTAACACAAGGCACTCTAAGGAGCACTGGGTGCTTGGCGCACCGTGAGTGCCAGTGGAACTCAACAGTCTACGCGTGTAGAGTAAGGGGCGCTTTTAGGATGCTCTTCATTGCCTCCCCTTGCAGGTTCAGAACTACAGCCAAGGCTTTCTAAAAAGAGGACCTGACCCAGTCCAACTTCGTGGCTCAGACACTGGGTGGGGCTCATGTGACTGGGCGAAGACCTCCCTCCGGACCTGTTTTTAAGCCAGGAGGCACACATGTGGCAGTTTGGTAAGATCACTCTCAAAACCACCCTTCCCAAGAGCAGTAGGCCAGGGTGCCCGGCCACTCCATGCCCACCACAACACACACGCTGCCCCCTTAGGCTATTCCACTGTTCCGTACTTGGCTTTAAACACAAAGCCATTTCAAACGAGTAATTCATTTCCAGAGTTCGCCACCCCATCTCACCCCACCTCCACAGCCACGTGGCTGATGAGCTGCCAACTCGGCTTTCTAGGGCTGTGTCTGAGAAGCCAGCGCTGCCATGCTCACGCAGGCCCCACCGTTCAGGCCCTCCTCTCATGGGCACCCTCGGGCCACGCTGCTGGACTGCTGCCCACTCACTCCCAAGCCGAAGCACACCCACACTGACCTGCCCCTCCACTCTGTCCTTGGTGCCCAATCTCCACTCTACTCGTTTTAGCTTAAGAACTAGGGGACAACTGGGGGACTTGGAATGCAAGAATACACTAAAACCCAGTTACGTCTTAGATTTGATCGGAAAGATTATCAAATCAACTGTCTTCTCCCCGAAAGGTTTTAAGTGGCAGCACAGATGTGGTCTTTCTAGAATACCACAGCCTGAATGATCCCAGTGTTTTCCTAGCTATGAAAACGCTCGGCAAACCAGTGGGCATCAGCAGCTCCTGGCACCTGGCCTCCCACGCTCAGAGCCCTGCTCTGTCCAGCAACACAGGTGTGAAGGTGCCTTACAGGCCCGCCCAGGCAGAGTGGGTCAGGGTGCTGGGTGTGTCGCCCTCCCTCGGGGACCGAGATGGTGGGGAGGCAGGCTCAGGGGAGAGCTTGACAGAGAAAGCATCTCCACAGCTCTGTACTGGAGGTCCTCAGCCAGCGGCTCCCAACCCTCCTAAGCTGTGGTGAGCCAACCATAGCTACCCGTTGCCACTTACTGGGATTTTGCTACTGTTATAAGTGGTAAACACCTGGTGTCCAGCCCCCCAAAAGGGGTTCACAGGTTGAGAACTGCTGGGCTAGGCAGTCACTTTGTGCTTGTGGAGTATGCAGATGGAGAAAAGCTGTAGCTGACACTAAAGACGAGCGTTTTGAAAGTGACAGAGCACGTGTGCTCACTCACGCTCAGGGTGCTACAAAAGCCCAGCTCAGGCTCAGAGCAGCCTGGCTCCTTACCTTTTCCCACCAACAGCAGCCGAAAGCGAGGACCCAGCAGAGCGGAGTAGCATGGCCTGGGTGTCCCAGCACGTGTGCACTCGACGGCCGTGTGCACTCAGGAAGCCCTCTGCTCAGGGGTGGCCACGCTGCCCTGCGGGCTCCCCGCACTGCAGGAACTCCAGAGCCACGCCAGGTCCCCACACTTAGCCTCCGCCGCCAAACTCCCCCACCCGGACCCTGAGGCCCAGCCTTGTGCTTGGAATCAAGCACTGGATCTACTGCACTGCGTCCCCAGTTCAAAACCAGACTCCACGGAGGCCACTGGAGCCGGCTTTCTCTGGGCAGGCCAATCGAAGAAAGCTGGGACCAAATAGAATGCAGTTTCCTGCTTCTCTTTATGCATCTCCCCACTGTAGGCACACCACCGCACACTCAATGACAAATAGGGAACAGGACAGTGGCGGAAACCCAGTTCTGAGGCCTTACATGACCAGAGCCTCATATAATAATAATAATAATAATAATAATAATAATAATAATAATAATAATAATACAGTGGTTCTACCATTAGTTAGGTAAAAGTCAGTCTTGGGTCTGTTAATCCAGTATCCCAAAACATGCTTGTTCCCTAAGTGAGGCAGGAACCCCACAGCCTAGGACAGAAACAGAGGTGGATCCCAGTATCCCAAAACATGCTTGTTCCCTAAGTGAGGCAGGAACCCCACAGCCTAGGACAGAAACAGAGGTGGCCTGCTCCCCAGGCCCACCAGCGTCTCCGTGAGGCCCTTTCCTGGGCACTGCCCCAACAGGGCCTGCACAGCCTCGTGCGGACACCGCCTGGGTGAGGGCTCCTGAGGCCTGGCAGGGCCCTGGCTCTGTACAGCCAAGTGACTAGCGCACCTCAGGGAGCTGAGGAAGGACATGGGCAATCATCTTCCCCTCACCCAGCAGCTGAAAGCCTCCAGAAGCGGCCCAGGCCCGCGTGTGCGCGACACTGCAACGGTACTGCGGAGCAGTGCCTGCACGTGGCACTCACTCAGGCAAAGAATCCATTTTAAAAACCAACTCATCTGTTAAACCTCCAATCTTTACTTTCAAAGATACTTGAAGCCTCTGTCTCTGCCACGCACACATTTTCCCTTTGCACAGGTGACTAAATGATGCCTGCTGTACCTACCGGACCTGGATCTGCTCCATTGCATAGGAAGATTGCGTTTCATTCTGTTTACATTTTCTTTAAGTTAATTTTTAAAAAAGCATAGTAAAGAGTCTGAGGACAAATTATTCAACTGTTTATCATACATAAGACCGCATGACTATAATACAAAGGGGGTCTTTTTCATTTAACGTTACAATATACACAGCAAGTCCGGACTAGATCTTACAATCTGAACACAGGTATTTAGCCTTTTCCATGCTGTTTATGTTTACGAAGCACAGAGTCCTGTAACCAAACTGTGTAGGAAAGCACACAAAACTGGACTGCAACGTAGCACAGTGTGCAGAAGCACTGGACTGTGGTTTTCTTCTTGTAATTTCCGTTTAAAAACGGCTTTCTTTTTTGGTGCTTGCTGAAATGTGGCAACCCGCAGAGAGAGAGAGAATGACCGGAGCCACCGGTGTGGGGTCTGGGTCCTACAGCAGCGTGAGTCCTCCTGACAGTGCTGTGCTCGAGGTGACGCCCTCATTCACGTAAGCTCATCAACTACCAAGTTCAAAACAATCCACAGGCTTGACATGTAATCACAAAATAAATATGGATTTCCTGATTAACAACCAAGTGTGTTTGTATAAAAACGGGGCTCTCCAAGTCTCCTCTCACATTCACAGAGTTTTAGGCCTTTCTTTTGTCACTGTATATAGATAAAAACCTGCTTTTGCTCAGAAGAAAAAAAAAAAAAAAGTTGGCCTAATCAGCCACATGGAGTTGAGCAATAAAAAGTAACATGGTGTTCTGCTGAGTTGCTTCCAACAGGCTTGTCGGCAGAGGTAGGTTACTGCTTCTTTCTAGGCTTCTTTTGATCCTGGACAGGGAAATGACTACGCCTTCACTCTCCCAATTCAACACCCTACAATTGCTCAATTTAAATGGGAACACAAATTTAGCCACTGCCAGACTGTGTTACATGAAGGCAGCGTCTTCCCCAGAGGAGGCAACCGCTAACGGCAGCCTGCTCCCTTCAGGTAGTGCTCAGCTCTGCCTTCTCCTGCAACTACTGTGGACCTGCTGGGGCAATCAAGGTCTTGGGTTCAGGTTTACAGGTAAGTTAATCAGGAACACAAGACTCAGCTGCTGGCCCCACAGCTGCTGGCTCCCTCGCCCCCTCCCTTCAGAAGCCTGGACACATTTAGAATGTGACAGGTGTTGTGATCTTGAATCAGATGTCAATCTAGTCTGTCCAGTACAGATTGCTGTAAATGTATTGGCTATGGACTCAACAACAGTTCCAGTTTTGTTTAAGCAATAGTACAGCCATAATTTCAACTGACATTTAAAAATGGTCTAGTTACACCGTGTGTCAGAGTGCACAACTGCTACATTATTGGTTACAGACATCTATGTGCTATAAAAACAGCTTTGGTACAATAAATTATCAAAAAAGAAAATAAATTTTTGTAAAATTCACAGCATAATTGTGAGGCAAAAAAGCAGTCACATAAAATCTGCATTTTAAAATGTTCAGGATGAACAGAAGACGTCTGTGTGCAGAAGAAATGGTGAAGACACCACGTGCCGAGAAAAAGCCAAAGAAAAGGTAAAAAGCAGGAAGGGACACAGCTGTAGCTATTTCCATCAGAGCACACCACTACCTCTGTGGCCTCCAACCAATAAGGAAGTCAGCTTTATGACACACGCAAAGTGACCTTGCAATCCCTTACAATTAGTGGGTCACAACGTCTATGGTAAAAGAAAGGCCTCTTGAGTTACCCATTCTCTGTGTTTTCAGCATTAAGGACTGTCTGCAAAAGCATGTCCACAAGTGATTGCATCTGAAACGGCAGGCTCTTCTAACTTCGAGTCCAAATCCATAAGGCCAAAGGTTATCCCAAGGACCACCACTCAGACCTCCCCAGGACTGGCCACAAGCGACCCGCTGATTGCTCCTCAGTGTGCCTCGTTAGGAGACCAGTCACGTTCCATCCTATCTTCCTGTGGCCTCTCCACCAGGAGAGCACAGGGTCCCGAGCACTTGCTGCTTTGCTCCTCGGTAGGTCGGCAGGAGAGTCCTGATCCCCGCCACTGAGCTTACTGTGCCTTACAGACTCCAACACATCGTCCCTTTTCACACAGCTGAGGATGACGGTGTGAGCTGGAGGCCCCTCTTCCTTACAGTACTGCGTTTCCGTGCCCAAGTGTGGAGAGGACATAAAAACCCAAATTTCCCACCCCACCCCCAACCCAAAACAGAGCAAAACAAAACAGGGGAGGAAGGAAAAAATAAAAATGGAAAAAAAAACAAAACAAAAACAAAAAACCAAAAAATACCCCCCCAAAACAAAACAAACAAACAAACAAAAAAAAAAAAAAAACAAAAAAACAAAAAACCACCCTTATGGGGCCCTTTATGCAAATTATGTGCAGTGCCTTTTTATTTTAAAATTGGTTGGCAAATGACCGAGACCAACATCTGAACATTAACTTTTGTTGGATAGAAAGACAAAACCCACTATGACTGGGAGATGGCAAGTTAAACGGGGGAGGCAAAAAGAGGACACCTCTGAGCGCTCCATGAGGATGGGTGGACATGGCTCTTAAAAACTTCATTGTCCCTTTGCAATCTTTTCAAGTTAAAAAAAAAAGTCAGCTCTGCCCTCTTGCAGCGGTTCAGTGTGTTAACCTCCTTCTGATTCAAGCAGCTTTGCACTTTGTTTTTGGGAAAAAACACCACTTCTATAAAAACACACAAGAAACAAACTCAAGTTTCAGTGTAGTCACGAGCTAGCTACAGGGCTCTGCTGCACACAGACTCCTGTCATGGGAGACTCCTCTCTATCGGCCCCTTGCCTCATCGTCAGATGTCCTTCAGTCATGTAATGTGCAGGACCTGTATTAGCTGAAAACTGGTACGTCGGATGTCCAGCTATGCCAGTCTCCTGGCGGGGATTGGAGTAGACGGTCAAATTAACGTCCATAGCTCCGTTCTGTCCAAAGTCCAAGGTGTTAGCAGCCACTGGGCGGTTCTGGTAGGCCTGGTTGCCTTGGTTCCCGGTGGAGGAGGAAGATGTGGAGGAGGAGGTCGTTGAGGAAGACAGGGATGTCATGGAGTGGTGGCTGTGGCCAACCTCCATAGAATCCTGGGTAGAGGAGCTATTTGTTGGAGAATTGTAGACCCTTGGCCTGGTCCGGCTACCCAAGGCTTGCTGTCCGTGGTGGTGGTGGTGGTGATGGTGGTGGTGGTGGTGATGGGAACTGTTTCCATGGTGATGATGCAATGCATTCGGCTGAGGGGCTACATGAAAGGTTGTCTCTTGAACGGGATGAGTTTCAACAGTGACTTGTGTGGGAGCTTCAGTGCCTGACCAGCCCAGAGGAGCTGGAAACTGCTGGCGCACCTGTGGAGACATCGGGACAGGGTTATCAGCACTGCTTCCACACGCAACAACCCACGCCTGGGCATGCACACCAAACACACAGCTTGCAGGGCACCCCCCACTTCCATCCTTGACTTCTCCAACCCATGAAGAGGTGCAGAAATACCTTTTCAGAACACAAATCAACTTGCTTCAGTACTTCCCACTGCTCAGAAAGACAGAATGCTAAGTCCTGATAGCAGTGCATGCCCGTTTCTCCAGCATTTCTTTACATTCTCGGGCCCCAGTCACCCCAGGTCTTCTTCTCACCCCTTAACCTATACGTACACTTCCTGGTGAGAATGCTTTCACTGCTAATCCTTGCCTGAATCTCTTTTTAAGTCTTTTCACTTCCTGGCATTCTGGCTCTCGCTGTCCCAACCCTCTGTGGCAAAGGCTCCTGCTCCACCCCTTCAGTATGTTTTGCACGCTGTGCGCATGACCTGTCCCAGAGTCCACAGCCTCCCCTGGCTGTCAGCAGCACTATGGATGGATGAGTGTGAGATTGAGATGTCACTGGAGCGAACTAGGTCACTCTGTTTGCTGGGCCCAGGGTATATGGAGTCACAGCTGGTAAAGACACTGGGGCACACATGGCACTTACTCCACTGTGACATTCAGATGTTCAAGAAGGGAAAGTTCTTGTGTTCTCTGAGGCACTTTCCTTGGACAGGGTGTTTAGTCTCCTTCAGTCAATATGCCTCAACCTGACAGAAGTCCTTCTCAGCCACCTGATCCTGGACCGATGGACTGTGCTGGGCTCTAGCCCAGGACTTTGCCAACTCCACACAGGCGACACCTACCTCAGAGGCATACCCCCCAAGCCTTTCTTTTTATGTAACATTACTTGTCATTCTGTTTATGATTTATTATGTTTACTTGTGTCACTGTAAGCTCTGAAAAGGCAAAGGCTTCTCTACCGTCTGTGCCTAGCACAAACTATTAAAAGCACTTATTCAAGAAAAATTATATGGAAATGAAACTCTTGAAAATCCAGTAGAGGAAAACAAAACTCACAGACAATCTCAAAAACAATACAGGTTGGTACATCCTTAATCTGGTATGGAATGCTCTAAAATTAGAATATTTTGGAATTCCAGATCAGGAATACTCAACTGGTAAAAGGTGAACAACTACACTAAGATCTAAAAGAACTGAAACGGAAACATTTACGGTTCCAACACTGTCAGACAAGAAATACTTGACACAGTACAGCGCATTCCGTATGCCGGGAGAGTCCTGCCGCCCATGGGGTACGGCCAACTCCCAATGCGAAGTACTGCAGTCTCAGGCACAGAAGAGACGCTGCGGACTAGAAAGGTCTGGCTGCGGCTGTGTGCCCGCCACACTGCTCTCGAGGGGAACCCATTATCAAATGTTAATTATGAAACCTTGGGATTTTAGTAGCCCTTAACAATTCCTCATCTTAAGTGGCCACACAGCAGAGTGGTCGCGTGAAAGTAACCTAATGACCAGGATGTCTCTTAAGTGGCTGGCAGGGAGGCCGTGTGCGCGCCCCAGACAGAGCTGGACACAGAACACAGCAGAACGGGATGACTCTCTCTCTGCCTGTTATTCAGAAGCCCACACAACTTTGTAACAGTAAAGTTACTATTTATGAATTCTATTTAATATTTTCAGGCCACAGGTGGCTATCAACAATGCAGTCAAACAGCAGATAAAGGAACACTAGAAAGGCTTTTTCGTATTTCCCTTCCTTTCTTTTTTTTCTTGTTTTAGGGCATGTGTGCCTACGAGCTACTGCAGACTGAATCTAGCCAAGGTACTGCAGCAAATGCTCTCCCGCTGAACTGCACTCCAAGCTGGTGATCCTTACCTCAGTGAGGTGCAAGAGCATGCAGAAGACAACCACAACCAAAGCACTTGTCACCTTACTCTGACTCAGCAATTTTACTTCCAATTGTTTCCAGGGCTCCACAACACAGATAATATGTGTATTATGCATGTGTAATGTGTGTATTACGTGACTGATGTGTGTGAAGTTTTTATTATGCCATCATCAATAGTAAAAATAACTACAAGTAAGGGAAATGTCCATTACTAAGCTATGAATGAAATGACTCATGGATTATTTAAGCAATGTAATACTGCACAACAGTATAAAATAAAAGCTTTAATTTGACATAGGAAGCATATCAAATCGATGCTGTTGGCATAATGTTCTTGTGGAATGTATACCATTTCCCCTTGTTCATTCAAATGCTGATTTCTCTCACTCCTCCTTTCTCCTCCCCTCTGGACAAGGAGGTCCCACCCTATTCTCTCCACTGCTCAGCATTGGCTGGTTGTTTTAATGGTAATAGGAGAACAAATGGTGGCATGTTCACACAAACTTGAGACAGGCGCGATGCAATGTCCGGATTGAAGCCACATGGTGGGACAGAGAAACCAGCATGTGAATGAACAAGGGTCAACTGTGTACATTCCACAAGAACGTTATACCAACACTATACCAAACATATAGGAAAACCTGGATATGAAAGAGTGTATGGTAGGACAGTGTTTAAATAAAGGCTGGAGGACATGACATACCCCAGGGGCCACATGGTGGACACAGAGACACGACCCCCAGACACTGTCCTCCGACTCCCACACACATGTTCTGGTTTGCATGTACACACTTACGGACACACACAGAATAATTAAGCAACTAAAAAAAAAAATAATTCAAAAAGAAAAGAAAAAAAAAAAAAAGATACTATACTGGGCCCAGGAAGCATGTCTGTAACTGCAACTACTTGGATGCAGGAGGATGGTCGTAAGCTGGAAGGCTGGCTAGGGCTGTCCAACAGCCACCTAAGGCAGACAGGTCAATAACGAATTTGAAACAAACCTGTGAGTTCTGTACGATAAATGGGAACACACAGGTGTGATTTTCTGGGAACTTTCTCTGAGTGTTGACAGTATAATATATAGGAAAAAGAGAAATATAGGATAGTCCAAAATAGCCGAGGGCAGCTTTTGCAAACAGTGCTATTTAAGAAGCAGGTGTAAAGCGTTCGCACTGAGCCTAAGCGGGGAGAGTGGTCCAGCTGGGCACACAGACAGTGAGGAAGCTGGAGAGAGCCTGCGTGGCATATCCTTTGTAGTGAAAGATCTCAGTGAAAGCACGCTGAGCGCAGAGGCCTGGGTGGGCAGAGCACAGACTCACCGCTGCTGGGTGCGTTCTACATGCCAGTCTCAGGTACACGAGGAAAGAAAGGCAATGCAAAGCAGGGGAGGCGGACTGGAGCAGAGCAGCAAAGTTCCCCTGGCTGTAGAGATGCCGGAGGCGGACAGGACCACGGACAGGGCATGAGAGGCGAGCAGCCTTCTTCACAGGACAGGGCACATGGGGCTCTCGGCGGGGAAAGTTAACGGTATATGCACCAAGTCCAGAATCCACACTTTATTAATCAAACACTAGCTCCTGGCCCCGAACTGAAGACAGCAGGGAATGAGCTGAGGCCACTCTGACAAAGCAATGTGGCAACACAGCTGCCCTCCTCAGGGCTCAGGCCAGCCCAGGGGCTCAAGCACAGTCTAGTCAGAGACAAAGCAGGAAGGAATGCTTTCAAAATGGTGGTTGCAATGACTCCCAACAAGGGTTAAGACCAAGCAAGAAGTATGCAAGGCCATCTGGAAAGCATGGTAGACAGGAACACCCCAAAATGAAGACAGCCAAGGGAGGGACAAAGAAATGGAGAAATAAGACACATGCTACCAAAGAAAGCAGAGGCAATTCCATGTATGTGGATAAGCCACACCCTGGCAAGCAGTGCCACAGGCAAGCACTGAGTGTCCTCTGGATTCCTCAGTGAGGGCCACAGCTGCTACAGGTGGTCAGGAAGCGAAGCTGAGCCGAGAAAGACTGAGGCCACTGACTCAGTACTGCTCAGGAAAAGAAGCCGGCACCAGGAGGGAATGAAGGACATGGGGCTGGCCTCAGCAGAAGCCCAGCAACAGCAGCTGGGTGAGCCATGTGACAGTGTGCACACAGCTGCACAGTGGACAGACTGGAGACAGTGAGCACAGCTGGAGAGTGGGGAAGTGCGGCCAAGGGCTAAACTGGAGGAGTGCGAAGCAGTTTACACAGAGAGAAGGACACGAGTTTCTGAGGAATGTAGAGCCTAGTAGAGCCTAGTGAACACTAACAGTGGTGACAAAACTGTGTGACGGTTTCCCCAGAAGAACCAAAAGGCTCAGTCACAAGAAAGGCGCACAAGTTTCAGCTGCTCCACTGGGACCAGCCTTTCAGCACCAAGAATGAAATGTCACCTTGAGCGCCTGCACAGGCTCCTGTCCCCAGCTGGAGTGCATGGCAGGGAAGCTCTGGCTGGAGGAGGCTGGCTGACAGCCCATGTCCTGCTTCTCGATGCAGAGGCACCGTGAGTGCAGAGCTCCTACCACCCTCCCTGCTGCCATGGCCTCCCAACATCACCATTCACTTGCTCCTGCTGTGAGCCCAGATCAACCTTGTCTAACTGTCACTGCTTCTGTCTGGGCATTTTATCACAGCAAACAGAAAGTGACTAAAACAATCTCAGTACTTTTATCCTCCCTGCCTACCTCACACTACCTTTTAAACTGACTTTAATAGTGAATTTATTAAAATCAGTAACCTTAAAAAGGAAAACAAATACTTTCAAGGTTAAAAACCCAACAAAAACAGACTCGGAACCAGGGCTGGAGGGCCGGAGGTCACAGGAAGTCAACGAGCGGGAGCAGGGGCCCAGCTCACAGAGACTTCCTGCTCAACAACAGCGGGGTGGGCTGCCGTGGCCACAAGAACTGACAAAGGGAGGTGTGTGAAGGACGGTGGTGTGTGCCCTGTGCACAGCCTCATCTCTCACATGGCGGAGTTACCAGGATGTGCATGGCACCCCCAGCCCTTGGCAGCTCACCTGGGGACTGTGCGTCTCGCAGTCCATGGCCTGCACAGTGGCAGTGAAGTGCCCCCCGCTGTGCCGGTGCTGGTGCGTGGGGTCCGACCTGGCTCGCCCGCTGTTGCTCGTTCCCGAGGAGCCACCTTCAGGGTGAGGACATGGAAGAACGGGAGTATAAAATAAACTCGACTCGACTCTCAAACTCAAAGCACTGGGGTAGGAAGCTACTCAGTCAGAGCACTAGGCCTGTGGATCCGCATAACCCATCAAAGAGGCAGGCTGACTTAGTCCTAGGACTTGGGGGGAGAAGGGGCTGGAAATCCAAGAACTCCCTGGCCAGGCCACCTGCATGAAAGGGCAGGCCTCGGCTGCAGTGGAATTCCTCCCTCCAAGCAACAAGGAAGGAAGGGGAAGGACAGTGTCCCGACCTCACGGGACCTGAGGTGTGTGCATCTGCAAAGTCAGGGGAATGCCCCACACAGCACATAGGCAGGCATGCAGCGCGTTACAGCTGAACATAGAGCATCAACTTGAAATACACCTCTCGGTTAACTGGACTCTCCCAAGAGGCTCCCACTAATACAGCCAGGGTCTCCTCAGGCAGGGAAAAGCTCATGGATGTGGTAACATAACTCCATTTAAAACTATCTAGAATTTTGGCTAATAAGTAGCTTTGTTTCTGTCAGGAAGTCAATTATTACATGCATAATTAAGTGTTAAATTGCTACTAACTATACAGAAAGGGAAGTGTTTACAGGTGTTTGCACTCAGACACACACATGCAAACACCAGACTTGGGTAAAATAATCCCTTGCTATCTATTTCCAAAAATGTTAAAAATTAGTTCATAAATACTCTGAAAGAATCTCACACTGAAACTGGGTGGTGGAGCACGCCTGTGATCCTAGCAGTCGGGAGGCAGAGGCAGTCGGATCTCTGTAAGTTCAAGGCCAGCCGGGTCTACTAAGTGAGTTCCAGGACAGCCAGGGCTACACAGAGAAAGCCTGTCTCAGAAAACAAAACAGAACCAACCAACCTAGCCCACCCCGGACAGCGAAGAGAGAGCATGCACAACAAGGCACGTGAAAGGCAGACCTGAGCTGGAAGACGTGCTGGACGTGGTGCCTGAAGACTGAGACTGCTCCATCGCAGGGCTGGTGGACACACTGTTACTCGTGTTTGTACCTTCATCCGCTGTCTTCTTGAAAAAACTGTGCTGCAGGGCATAATAAGGTTGGATCCGAGTTTTGGGGTCATAATCAAGCATCCTTAAAATGAGGTCTTTGAACTTCAAGTAGTCAGCTACAGTATGACCCGATTCCCCAGCACGCCGTCCGCCAGGTCCTCCTGTTTCTACTCCAAGAATATTATGCAGCTTACGGGTGCCTGGTGGTTTGTACTCCTGTTAGAGAAGAGAGCAAAAAATCGTCGCTAAGTTTGGTAGGAGATGAAACATTTACATGATTTACTCCAAATGGTTGAGGCGCTTACGTGTTCAAGGCTTTGTGAAGACAGACAATTGTAGTGAGAATTTTGGTTTTAAACCCCAGTTAAGTTATGTGACTGTTTTCGTTTTAATCCCACGTGTGAAATAAGAGCTGCTTCACAGCAGATGATTATGATTTGCCCCATGCACTGGCAGAGCTGTGCGTTTGCCAGCTGCAGATAGTTTATAGTTTGGAGTTCCGGAAACTCTTGAAAAGGCATACAGGGGAGAACCTAAGAGAGCCCAAGAGGGGCCAGGGGCCCTCAGAGGTGCTGCTGCGTTTGCTGGACTGCTGGATACTCTGAAGACGAAGACCAGACTTGCCCCAAGAAACCAATGCGCCTAGTTAGCAACCTAAAGAGGTCTATGCCTCTTTCCCCTCCAGCTTTCTTTCTCACCTACCTAGTGTTGGGAAGGTTGGAAGGGATTGGGGTAGAAAAGGATGAGAGTTAAAAGAATCCAAATAAAGTAGATTTATAAAACACGCCTACAGACAATTTCTGAAATAGCTAGAGCCCCCCCCCAAATTATGTACACAACACTTAAACACGCTTACATGTTTTGAGAGTTAAACAATGGCTATGAAGATCAGTAGAGCTCAGCAGTGAGCAGCCCTTGAGTCAGGTTTGTACAGCTTCAACCAGGGTTGTGAAAAAAACAAACAAGCAAGTGAAGGAAGACAGCATGACACAGGACACCCACAAATGTAAAGCAATCAGTATGCAGGTGCTTACAGAGACGTGTGGACTCTGAACTGCTGTACCCTGCACCTGTGCTGGTGTGAGTGTGTTGAGACAGGCTCTCACTTCATAGTCTCGGCTTGCAACTCACTACAAAGACCAGGCTGGCTTCAAATGCGCAGAGGTCTGCCTGCCTCTGCCTCCCAAGTGCTGCAACTGAGAATAACGGTGTCCACCCTCGGCAGGTCTGCGCTGTTTCTGACAGAGGCTGCACTGCTTCCCTGTGGGCAGCTCATTAGAGCCGTGTGTGCCGCTCCAAGTGAAGCAGCATTCCTTGCTCTACCCAGTCCTCTTTTACAGAGCATTCATAAGTCTCTAAACACATGACGGGATTTGCCAACCCTCACTTAGTACCAGGGAGCAGTATCGCCCTCCAGCTCTCCACAAATACCAGTCCTGAAGGCATCCCCGCACTTTTGGTGAACAGATGGCTGGACACTCGGGAAGCAGGACAGAACACAACTGTGTTTGTTCAGCCAGTGTCCTGCCAGTGACCACGTTCCCCCACCCCAAGCAGCCACAACCAGGTTAGAAGAACTCTGAAGTACAGGAGGAATCCCGTGCCAGACGTCAGTGAGCAACAGTCCAGCCTAGCTGGGGCACACAAGACAGCCAGCCACACGGGGGCAGCCAGACAAGGTGGCAAAGGAGCAAGAGGAAATTAAATTATGTCTGGGCTCCTGGTGCGGCCAATATGCACAGAGCTCTGAAGCAAACAATGCTAGCTGAGCCTCCTCAGATGGCAAGTCAACCTGAGTCAACACTTGGAGCCTAGACCTGACACAGCAAGAAATATGTCTGCTTCTCATGGAAATGACACGTGCCAACCATTCCCAATACAATGACAGTTGTTAACCATTTCCAAACAACAGGTGTCAACACTCCCAAATACACAAGGACTGACATACTTTTTAAAAATTATAGAAATAAACAATGGAGTCCATAATTTCGTGGGGGAAGTGAGTTATCAGTCCATCCATATTAATACATGGCCCAGGCAGTGGAACTGGACTGGCATTTTTAAGCTAACAAATAAGTGTGTAAGGTAGCCAGTTGACAAGGTTTAGGTAACATGTGTGAATAGGTGGGATTTCGGAAGAGGAAAACTATTGATTAAAAACGGGGACAAGTGCAAATTCTCACAGTAAACTCTAAGCAAAGAGCCCGCTTCATACCTGGGCGGCCTGTGCACACGTGCAGAAAGAAGCCAGTGAGCAGCCTCAAGAGCCATTTTACTTCTTCTTTGAGAACAGCACCTCTCGCTGGCCTGCAGCTCACCAGGTAGGTTAGGATGGTGGCCAGTGAGGCCCACGGGTATCACTGTGTCTCCCTCCCCAGCACTGGGCGACAACTGCACATCATCCTATTTAGGTGGACTGTGGGCATGGAGCTGTGGTTTTCGTGCTTACGAGGGAAGCATGTTACTGACTCCTATCTCTCTAGCCTACTAGAGAGTTTCAACAGCAGATTAGCTTCAGAGTGCTGGGGAGCTGGGGTTAAGAGAAGTGACCAAAAACACAGAGCAAAGACAGTATCCAAAGTCAAAACACAAAAGCAAGTTAGTGCTACTGCACTCCCAGACTAGGTACACTCCGAGTGAGCCTGCGCTCCACAGTGTGTCCCTGGGCTGAAGCAAGCGAGCCGCTCGCCCCCAGAAGCAAAGAGACCTCAGGGCCACACGGCACAGCAGCGCCATACATGCAAATGCACAGCTAGAAGAGACTGAGCAGAGAGAGTATAGATAACATCTGAGGGCCCACAAGAGCCCAGAAACCAAATCTAGGAACCGCAATACCCGCTAAAGAGAGAAATCCAAAGAGATTAAAAACCCTACGTGCATAATAATTGACTAACACGTGCAGAAGTAACGCTTACATACAAGCACTCAAGAGGCAGAAGGGAGGTGCATACAAGTGATAGAGGAGTGTCTAAGGGCAGCTTGACGTAAGGATTCATACTATGACAGTTACACACTAAGCTGCTTCCTGTCAGGTATTAGGGACAAAAAAGTGACTAATACACTACTGCCTAAAAACACGTGTACACATGCATGCACCTCCAAACCACGACAACAAAGTACAACTGTTATCAGATACACATGAAAGAATCACCAAGACAGATTACCGTCTAGGCTATAAAAACAAACTATAAATTTTAAATGAGTAAAACCACAGCGCTATTTAGCTAGAGATGAATTAAGATGTCTAGAAAATTCTCAAATATTTTGAAATTATGTAACAAGATTCAAGATAGTGAGTTAAAACACACACACACACACACACACAAAACCAACCCACTACACATCAGAAACACCTCGGAGTATTCTTATCAGAGCAGTAAGTGTAACTTAGAGCTGTAGGAGAGGACCTGGGTGCCAGAACCAAGTGTGCTTTTATTATAGGCCAGGATAAATATTCCAAAGTCAATTAAAAAACTCGTTATATGACAGGTACTGGGAGGTAGAGGTACACGGTTCTCTGAGCGTTCAAGGCCAGCCTGGTCTACACTTGAAAAACCAAAAACAAAACCAAACACACACACACAAAAAAACCCCACTAGATGGTAAGGGTGAGGGTGGGGAGCTCACATGACCTCATCTCTGTAGGTGCAGAAGAGGCTTGAGACAGACCCGTATCATCAGTGCAATTTCTAGCAGCACTGGACGGTCCAGCACAAGCTTGTCCTCAAATCTTACATAGAAGAGCCAGCATGTGTGGAGAGTAACTGTGCTGATAGCTGGTAGCCGGGGCGATAGAGGGGTCCCAACTTGCAGACATGGAAGATGAATTAGTTTTGTAAAGTAGCAAGTCAGATCATAGAGAGTCAACTGTCAGCCAACGCTGCTCAGCACGACAAAGGGGAAATCCAAACAACCAGAAGGAGAACACACAGATACCTATCTTTACCAACTTGGGGAAGAAAAAGGGGGGAAAAGGTTCTGCAGATCTGACCATCTACTATTATTGATATTTTACTAATATCAGAGATTTCCTGGCATCCAAAGAGATCATATTTACATAAATAAGCAAGCACTGCCTAGGAAGAAGTACTGGCAGGTAACATGACTGCGTGAGTAAGGCACCTCTTAAAGAATAAGGAAAAACTGAAAAAAACATCCATTAAGTATTTTCTAATGATGATAAACCCACACAGGCCCTTGCAATTCTTACAAAATGCCACCAGAAAAAAAGATGTGTGGTGTTCTCTACAGCCTTAGTTAATGAGTCCCTAATCAGATATAAACAAAAAGTTCACTGACAGAGAATAAATTACAGTATAGCCAATGAAATACCATGAAGCAATAACATGAATTAAGTCCTGATATACACAACAGTATGAATTCCCCCAAATATTGTTTCATTAAATAAGTGTGACACTTAATCTTCATTGTCAACTACACAGGGCCTAGCAGTCACCATGGAAACAAACCATCTGTGAGAATTTTCTCCACTAGGTTATAGCTGAGGTGAGAGGACCTATCCCAGTGTAGGCAGCAATGCCCCACAGGGCTGGTGTCCCAGAGGAATAAAGGAGGAGGTGCGAGCTGGGTGGCGGCATCCACCTTTCTGCTTCCTGACTGCAAGTACAGGGTGATAGCCCCCTCCCGCTCCTACCGCCACGCCTTGCTGACCACAGCCAACTGCATCCCCCCACTTTCTTCTTCAAGCTGCTTTTGTTGGTATTTTGCCGCAGCAGCAAGAACACACTTTAAGTGGTAACACCAGAGGGTATCGTTTTTGTGACCTGCACTTGTTGACTCAGTCCACCGGCGGCAGGAATCAGAGGAGAGGCAGAAAGGCGGGCAGGGCTGGTGGGAACAGCCCCTGTTTCCTGTGCATTAGGTAGTGGGTGCAAACTCAATACTTAAGATATGCACATACTCTTGCAAATAAACTACACTTCAATAAAATAGCAACATTTGCACTCTTACTTGGGGGCATAAGGTTACTGTGTCATTCAAACGCTGATTTCTGTACCACCAATATCCGGTTGCAGTCCTTAAACTGAGAATCTCCTGTCTCAGTGTTATATAAACTCTGTTCCCCAATTGTCCCCTAATATGTCAATAAAGCAGCCTAGAGCCAATCGCTGAGCAGGGCAGAGAATAGGGCTGGACTTCCTGCCAGCTAGGGGAGGCGGAAGTTACAGGAGGAAACAGAGGATTCAATCCCTTCTCCCTTCTCAGGAGAGAAGAGCTGGAGCAAGAAGGCTACAAAGTGCAAGTATTGCTTGGATGTGTCCTGGGAGGAAGCCAAATTTGGAGAGAAGGTTAAGAATAGAGTTAACAGCGCTCTGGATTGTACTGTGAATCTTGTTAAAATAATATTAATAGAGTCTCAATGATTTGTGTGAGAGCTAGGTTAAGAGAGAAACTGAGAAACAGTTTTAGAAAAATAACATTACCACTTATCTGCCCACTACAGAAGGAAAATACAGTTCAATGTAGATATCTAGTGATATGAATGAGAATGTTTCCATAAGCCCGTACGTCTGAGTACTTGGTCAACTGGTGGAGATGTACATTTAGGGTGTGGCATTGCTAGACAAAGTATGTCACTGGGGCAGGATGCCAAGGTTAAAGCCACACGTCACTCCCAGTTTGCTCTCTCTGCCTCCTGGCTGTGGCTGATGGAATGACCTCTCAGATCTCTGCTCCAGCCACCATGCCTGCCATCTGCTGCCATGGAGTCCCAGACATTACTGACAACAATCCTCTGGCACCTTCAACCCAAATCAACCTTCCCTCCTCTGAACTACTTTGTTCATGGTGTTTTCTCTCTGCAATAAAAAAGTCCCTAACCCAGGTTTCGTTAAAACGTTAAACACGGGCCTCTGAAATGCGGAAAGTTAAAACACCCTCTAAGTGAATGCACACCAGCAACAACCCTCTAAGTGAATATACACACCAACAACAACCCTCTAAGTGAATGCACACCAGCAACAGCGCCTGCGTTTTTGTGTGTCTGCTTAAAGTGTGATCAGCTGAAGGTACACTGTTTTCCTGAAAATTTTAGTTTTGCTAAAACAGAAATAAATCAGTCACTACGTCTGAGTACAGGAACTCTCACTAAACTTATAATTAATGGGTAGTAATTAATTTTTCCTTTTGATTCAAAAGGAAAAAAAAGATCTAATGTTTGAAATGCCCCCAATAATCAATAAACAATAATAATTGTAGCTCAATTTGGGAGACAGGATAGCTGACAAACCAGCTCTTTAATTTTAAGAAGTCAGAGATTTGGAAAACTGACTGAGATGACTGATTTATTTAAAAGGGAAGCCGCACATAAGCTTAGAAAAAGTGACCGAAGACTGGACTGAATAAGAATACAAAGTGTTCTAAAAGCTAATTCAAACTGGCAGGGTCTACCTGGAACATGAGTGAAACCTGAGCATTTTCCACTGAGCTTTGGTTCTGCAGCAAAATGTCCCGTGACTGATACACTGTGTGCTCCACGTAAGAGACTTGGGGTGTGGTGGGGCACTCCAGACTGCCTGTACTTGCAGACCGCTGAGGAAATGAGTGTGCTTCGCCTCAACACTGGGCCAGAGGCCTTACAGCTTGTACACAGCAGTGAGGCTAGGAACTGGAAACTATACGGCCTACAATTATAGAGTAAGGCAGAAGCAAGAAGTTGCAAACCAGTTATGAAACAAATAATAATTATCTGTAAGTCTCTGAGCACTGTAAACTACATCTAGCAGTCTAGTTCATCTGGTAGTACTTGCTAGCACCTCAGTTATACAACAAGTTCAAAGTCGACCTGGGCTACATGAGACTCTGTCACAAAACAAACTAAAACAAACCAAACAAACACAAAGATCAAACCAAGCAGGTCAAAGAGATGTTTTGATGCTTAAAAGCACTTGCTGCTCTAGAAAAGCAGAGTTCCATTCCAGCATAGCCCCAGGGGATCTGATGCCCCCTTCTGGCCTCTGCAGGCATGCACATATACACATATACACACGACTGCAAATAAACCTTTTTTAAAAAGAAAAGCCAAACAAGAACTATAAGATATTAACAGACTCTACAACTAAGTAAATGTCAAGTAAAGCAGACAACGGCACCCAACTTCCTGAGATGACAGCCGGTGACAGCCTCACTAAACACAGGATAAAATAACTAATGAAAAAAATCTTAAATACTGAAGATGCAGAGCCACAACCACAAGGTAACAATGTGCATCAACTCCAATTATGTATCTGTGCGTTCTTTTTATTAATAAAACCCGAACTAGACTAGATGGTATCTGGCAAATTACAGACACACACACACACACACACACACACACACACACACACACAAATCAAGGCGCAAATCTGGTATCATTTACTCTAATACGTCAATACAGCTGGGCCTCTGGAAATAGTCCTTGAACCTACTGCTGCACTACAAAATGTAACCCTGCTACCCTGGTCGCTGAGTGGAGAACCTGAAATCTGTAAGAAGAGTCCACCATCAACTCATATCCTTGAAAAAGTATCATGAACTGCTTAAGCTTAAAAAATCATCTTTTCCACACTAACAAAAAAAAAAAAAACACTGCAATTACAATTTCTGTTCACAGTTGCTACTTCACTCCTATGTACAATCGGTGAGACTCACTGATTCAGTATTGAAGCATGTTGACTTCATCAACTGTCTTCAAAGACAGGGCCAGAGCAGTCTCCTTGTTTTTAACGAAGCTCAAACAACCCTGACCATTAAGTAAACAACGGTCCATACAGAGTTAGCTTTTGAACAAAATACCATCTTTTAGCTGTTAACTATAATACTGTTGTGAAACAGACAGCTCTGGTAAGAAAGAAACAGAGACGGGGCGGGGAGGGAAAGGAGAGAGAAAGGAAGGCCCCTCCAAGAACAAGTGTACCCTTATTTTACCCGTTTTCCATCTTTGGTCTTCTTTAAGTTCCAAGTGCCATCAGGCAACTTCTCAAAGAACTTTCTTGCTTTTGGTGCTTGGTCAAGAATATGAGCAGGTGGGATGCCCAAAACCTCCACTATTTTATTCATCTGATCTACCTGTATTAAAAACAAAAACAAATCCGTAGTTTCAAGTGTACATTCACTTACTTCTTTCTGCTTGTTGGTTCTTTCCTAGATACAGAGCACATACCCTCTGTACACAGTTGTGTCGTAGACACTGAGGGTGCACTAAACCCAACAAATAGAAGACATTTTTGCCACCATAGGGCCACATACTCAACAGAAGGGAAGGCAGATAATGAACAAATAAGAATACACATCCAGGTATGCCTCAGGACCTCAGATACAAAGAAAAACACTAAGATAGAATGGGACGGAATTTTAAATATCAGTTTTTGAAGTTTTAAATAACTAATAAAGATGTCTTACTAATTTACAGACATTAATTAAATTACTGTCTAACCGAAAGCTATGCACGCATGTAACAGTGCATCTACCATAAGGCTAGAAGCCCTGCTTTCTCACAGAACACAGAGTAAACAGAGGGAGATCCTGCTTTGGAAGACGCTAACTATACACACAGCCAAGACTCAGCATACTCAAGGAACTGGTTCCGGGCAAGAACAGCCCAGGCCCCATCCTGCGGATCCTAATTCCACAGGTACCCTAATCTGTTGTAAAAAATTAATGTCTGCATATAATTTGTATACATCCTCCTATACTTTAAACCTTCGCTAGATTACTTGTAATTGCACATACTAGAAAAAGTTATGGTGCTGTTATATGGGAGAAGGCCAGCACATGTTCCTGACAGGCAGCATTCCCACTGTGCTGGAGCTGCTTTACACCAGTAACAGCCACACTGTGGTTCAATTATCCTAGACTGTAAGACGCAAATAATCTCAACTGTAATAAAACTCAAATTTAGACACTCTGACTCCATGGTCTCCCAGACGAAGTCAAGGAATGAAAAGACTTGCCCAGAGTAGTTTTTGGCCAATCACTTCTCTGCCCACACAACCGCAGTTCTTTTTGTTAAAGGCAGAGAGTTTATTGTGGCACCTAGTTCCAGAGGGCGGAGTCTGTCATAGCAGGGAGGGCAGCGGGTCAGGAAGCTTACTGATCGCATTTCTATCCACACACAGAAGTGGAGATGTGCACAAGGGCAATTCTTTTTACAAATACTTTTGTTTGAACTGAAATATAAAGCACGTGGAGTGTGCAAAGAGACCACAAAAAGTACGTCTAATCCAGAGAGGATGAAAATCAAGTGGGGAGGACCAGTGCAGCCGAGTAGGTGGCACAGAGGCCCCAGAGAAGGCTACCTCGAGAGAAGTCTGCGCCACCCAGCAGCAAGCATTTCAAGACAGCAAGAACAAACGTAAAGGCTAGCAGCGCTGGGGTTTTCAAGGGGCCACAGAAAGAGAAGACTGTGCAGAGTCGGAGGGAAGGGGTGGGCACCGCAGAGGCCCCTGCACAGAGGGACGAGGAGAACGTCAAACACAAAAAGAATTTTTGGCTTTGGCAGTGAAAAAAATGGGAAGCCACTGGACTCCCAGCTGATCCTAAAACTGTTTAATCCCCAAAAAGTTAGCAATTATAGAATACAGTTACTTAAAGTCAAATAAAAACAAGTATCATGGAAGCTGCTTCCAACTGGTTCCTGCGCTGAAGCTTAATTTGATCGTAGAAAAGAAGGTAAGGGCTGGGTATGGGTGTGCCCTTCAGTGTCCATTATCTGAGAGACTGACTTCGAGTGCCAGAGTTCAGGGGGCCAGCTTGGGTGACATGACAAGATCTCAGCAAAAAAATGAAAACATCAACAACTTTAGTCATTTGGCCTTCCTTTTTGATTTATAACCAAAAATTTAGGTTTAAGATCCTCAACGATCAACTTTTCCATGAAAACCAAAATTCTACAAACAAGTAATTTAAAAAGGAAACAGCTCAGCCGCTCTGCTGGGAGCTTAGTCCCGACTCTCCTACCCAATGCTTCTGACCTTCGGAATCTCTTAGGACACAAAGAAGCCTGCAGACTTTCAGGCTCTGTAAGCCTACAACTCCAGAAACCTAGTTTATGTGGACCAACTCAGGCAGCATCTACCCACTGCACTGCCCACGCTGTCCAGTACCAGACCCCAGCCTCCGTGGTTCTAATCTGTGCTCACACCATTACTCACAGTGGCTTCTTTCTTCAGCACATACAAATTTTCTGTTACTGTCTTTAAACCTGTATAGGGTCCGTGAAATGCTACTCTCTAGGTAATTTACTGTTTTCCTTCATTAGCATATTAACCATCTGAATTACCAGTTCAGAATTCTAATTCTAATCCTAAACCTACCATATAACTGGCAAAGAGGGAAAGTTAAGAGAATGTAACTTAAGACCGACTGAACTGAGATCAAACAGTCAAGCTGTTAAGGACACACCATTCCCAGGACGCTGTCCCTCCAAGGACAGAGCTGTGGCTGAACCTCACATACCTCATTGGCACCACTGAACAGCGGCTCTCCAGTGTGCATCTCAACCAAGATACAGCCAAGGGACCACATGTCGATAGCCAGGTCATAAGGCATTCCCAGTAGCACCTCTGGAGACCGATAAAAGCGACTCTGAATATACTGGTATATCTGAAACATATTTCAAAATAGCATTTAATCCATGTCTTGTTTATAGTTACATTCAATATCGGATTAAGAATACTACTCACAGCAACAGAAAAGTTAAACTCCACACCACGAACATGGTCAAATAACTAACATTATGAAGAATAACCAAGCTCAAAGCTGGTTGAGAATTCAGACGCAGAGTTTCTAGGTCCAAGAAGTCACCTGGCTACCTTGATTAGCAGGTTTTAGACCCATCCCTGAAGGCCTTTTCCCATGCATGCGCTTACCAGCTCTGACTCTGATCCAGTACAGTAACAACTACAGATCTTGGAAACATTTCTTATGTAACACCAGTACACTTTAGCAGGCAAACTTTTTTTAATTTATTTATTTATTATGTATACAATGTTCTGCCAGCGTGTACACCTGCAGGCCAGAGGAGGGCACCAGATCTCATTATAGATGGTTGTGAGCCACCATGGGGTTGCTCCGAATTGAACTCAGGACCTCTGGAAGAGCAGCCAGTGCTCTTAACCTCTGAGCCGTCTCTCCAGCCCAGCAGTTAAAAACATAATGGCCTAAAGAAGTTATCTCAGTTTGTCTAGACAGAGATTACCATGTTTGATATTAAGACCATACACATGATTTGGCTTAAACTGAGGGAAAAATGGCTAACTGAAAACTCTACTAAAATACTGTCTCGGCAGGCCTGTGTTTCCATCCCAGGCGTTTCACTGACCTAACTAGAACAAGGCTAGGCTTTTCAGCAGCACCTCAATCTACACATTTTGCTTCCTAATCCAACTTAGAAAATTATCTCCAAAACTATATAGCTTTGCTATTGTAAGATAAATTGCAGAAATGACAAAACCTAAGCTGCTAACTCAACTGACTATACACCTTCACTATATATTAGCGTGCTCTACTTAAACCTAGATATAAGTTGGACAAGACAGGAATTTCACAAGCTTGAAAAGCAAAAAATGTGGACGCTAACATAAAAATAGTGAACCTTAGAATGTCAGATTAAAATGGGTAGAAGAGCACCTTCATATGAACAGAAAAGTATTAAGCGTAAGTAACGGGCTAGCAGAAGAAACCTTAATCTCTTCAAGAAGAAAATCTGTAACTTGTGTTCACACGTAAAGAACCCCGGTGGCACAGGTGCCATAATGCTACAGACTACGGCAGGAAGACTCTGCTCTCCTGACCAGGCACATCTCATCACAGCAGATACGTCTGCTGTGAACAGCGTGAAGAAAGCCAGTTCTGATATATCGAGTCTGCGTCAAGTCTGACTTGGTGAGGGAAGCTAAGGCTTAAAGTTATTTATCAAAACAAATCTGCACACCACCTGCACTGTTTCTACACAGTGTCAGAGTAACCCAAAACACCACATCTGTGTGTGCTCCTCGGTTTTTAAGGAACATTTATCTTGATGACTTAAGAGAAGTTATTTATAGTGAAGATCCTAGTTCAAGTTAAAATTACTCAAATTTTACATTGAAAGCTCTATTTGGAAGCTATAAATCACCTAATATTTAATTCTTTTATTCTTTCTTAAAAATGTTTCCCATTAAACACAATTTTTAAATACCCGCTTTAAAAAATCACCTCTTCCAATTCAAGTCAGATGTCAGCAGTGTGACGCAGGTGCTGCACACCCAGCGATGAGTAGCCATGCTCTAATTGCCTCCACACTGGAAACACATTACAACACTGTAGATAGCTAACTATACTGCCCTGGCCGATTCCATTGCTAAGTCATGAGTCCTAAATGACACTCACCCTCTGCCCCAGCTGACAGGAGCTGCCAAAGTCAACAATCTTGATTGCACTCCGTTTGGGGTTGCACAGGAGGATGTTCTCAGGCTTTAGGTCACAGTGAATGATACTCAGTTCTGGCGTCGCAAGGAAAAGCAACGCTGTGCACATCTGTTGTGCAAACTTTCGTGTTAGGTTCAATGAGACCCCTCGGAAGTTGGTGTTCCTCAACAAATCATAGAGATTATAGGACAGCATTTCAAAGACTAAACAGAGATGGTTTCGAAACATAAAGTGACGCTTCAAATGCACTGAAAGAGAAGAGAAATCGCACGTAAGTTACTCATGTTGGTGGGATGGTAGTGAGCACACACCTGCCTTCTCCAGCCCTAAGACTTCACCATCCAGCGCAGAGCGGACAGCAGGTGAGCCTGGACACACCCCCACGCCGCAAAAACAGCCTGTTCTTCTAAGTTAAACAGGTACAGCGTCTGTCACAACATGCCTAAGGCAGCAAATCGCCACCTCACAGAGCCCATCTGCTGAGACGGAGACTGTGACAGCACTGCATCTGACAGCTGGCTTTCTTGAATGTGTAAACCCTGTGTTTAGTAGCCATTTTCATCAATAACTGGCTACGGCTTATGTACAGCAGCCTATCTTTGTGTTTTAGGAATAGCATATGTCTGGAAATCATGGACACTAAAGTTCTTGGGAATCCATAATTGTCATATTCTCAACAAATTGAGAAAATAGAAATCTTGTCTAAGACTAAAAGTTTTGGAAAAACTATGAAGTACAGGTCAACCACAAGAAAGAATGAGAGTAGGCCTATGACTGGGTTGCAGAAGATGGCTGCAGTAACCACTCCCTCTCTAAGGTTGCTAATGAAACCCAAGGACTGTGCTCAACAATTATCAGTGAGTACATCAGAGAAAGTCACTCAGAGGCAACTGGTATACAAGCATTCTCTCTCACACCACAAAGTGCCTGCAGGCCAACTGGTGCGAGGTTAGGCCAACAATGTTAAAGTAGGGTGACTCTTCCCTATAGTCTCACGGTATCACAAAAACAGCTTTCTCTACAGACCTTTCCAGAAAACTGTATTCAGACACCCATTGTGTGACTGACATACACACACACACACACACACACACACACAGTCCTGGACTGGCTGCCTTGAGCGGTCTACATCTATAGCTGCTTTCAGATCATTCCTGACTTGTGATCTAGAGCTGGGAGAAGCCACACAAGGGGCATCTAGGTGGCTCAAAAGTCTCCGGCGCTCCTTGACACTGTACAGTCATACAAATAACCCTTAAAAGTGACCCAAGGATGGGTATTAATCTGTGCTGAGTCACTTTGCAATTGCCAGGTTTAAAGGAAAAAACAGCTCCTTGACCGCTCAGACACGTGTCCTGCAGGAGTTTTAATCTAATTAAGCAGTAGCTACAAAAGGAGTGCAAAAGACAACTAAAGTCAAATTTCTAATACGATTGTGAAAGTCCGTTCAAGAAGCTGGTGCAACTCAGAATGTTCTTCCAATGAAAGACCTGCGCACTTCTTAGTAAGCACTCATTTACTGAGCGTCTATGACACACCAGCAGGAACAACATTTATATCAAAGGAAACTCAAACACAGATAGAACTGTTACTTTTTTTACTGGATTCTGAAAAAAAAAAAAAAATGGAGTTAGTAAGATTTTCTCCAATAAATGAAATTATTTTTAAGCAGACCACTGTCACTAAAGATTCCAGAAAAGCAAATATTCTATAAGGAAGAAAGAGAAGACAAAGGAGGCACAGTCCAAGCTCAGGGGTTTTGCTTTGGAGTGAGAAAGAACTGAGCTCTGATTCTTTCTCCAGGGCACGAAGGGACCACAGGGACAAAGCCAGCTCACAGGACATGATTTCAGGGGCCTTCACCAAACAAACGATGACTGCTTAGCCTGGCTGGAACCTTATGTAAGGCACATATTCGTTACGGTACATATGGTAGTTAAAAGAATGTACAATTTGTTACAACTTTCTGTGCCAATTAAAATAAGTGATACTATATGGCATATTTTTTAAAAGTTAAAATGTGAAGTCATCAGAATAAATTATATAATCAACTGCCTTACAATCAAATTGTACCACCAAAAAGAAACCTAAAACCTTAAATTTAAGGTACAGGTCAAGCAACACAGCTGTGTCTGAAGTAGTTCTGTGCTGTAGACATCCAAAACAGAACCCTCACTTTTGTTCTGAGTCACTGTGAGTTTTCTGTTATTACTCAACAAGAACCCAAACAGCCAAAATGCAAGGCAGAGGAAAAAGGAAGGACAAGAGGCACATCAGAGAGCTCTACAAACTCTGGCATCCTTTGATGCCCCTATGCCCCTTGAACAGAACCAGGCTTACTTGGCACTAGTCAGACCTGATGTGTGGTGACGGAAGATTTTAAGATACACCCAGTATTATCAGGGACTATCCCGACAATTTCCCGAAGAGAAACTCAGGAGGAAAAGATGAATGGCACAAGCTCCTTTCCTCTGTGACAGGAACACAGGATCTCAGAGATGGGAAACACTCTAGAAGTCACAACGTGGCGATTCTGGAGGATTAAGCCATGACTTAGTCCTCTCAAGACTTGATTGAATGACACCCCTTATATGAAATCCAGTTTGAGCTATGACATTGCATTTTCCATTAGAGTATTACTTATAAACTTCAAGGCTGTTACTTCTCTTTATGCATATGCTCTGTAGTCAAGTATTAATAATTTCAGCAATTTATTACGACAGCTCGCTATTAAAATGGCCACAAAATTTGTGGTACATTGGGCCCTTCAACATTTGGAGCACTACACACGTGTGTGTGGTGAAGGTTTTTTTTTCTCATTTACATTATTTTATTTGGAAATGTTTATGACAGTACAACAAAACTAAACTTCAGGGACAATGGATGTCTTTAGTTTAGATATCAAGATTTCATTAAAAAAACAGAGGCAGTGGAATTATTTATGTAATTAAACAGTTGAGAATGGGCAGCTTCATGTAACAGCACTATGTCCACAGTGATTAAGCCCACGTACTTGCCAACAGTGCCATCACCATCACCTCTAACAGGAAACAATCCTCATTGCTGAGAACTACTTGGGTGTCTCCAACTTTCACACTAACTAACTGGTTGAATCTCTCCACCCTTTTCATTCACAGCTGACCCCACAGCTACCTCTGTTGTTCACAATACTTTCTGGAAGCATAACACCACCTTTGGTTACAGTTTCATCAGCATGCCTATCAACCAATTCTCTGTCAAAGAGCAGAAGAAACTAATTTTTTTGTACATGTATGTCTCTAAGTCACATATGTGAAGGTAGAAAGTATTCAGTGCCCCAGAGGCTGAGTCACAGGTGGCTGTGAAGCCCTGGCAGAGGTACTGTAAACTTAGTGACATTTTTTCTTGCTAGTGAATGAAAACACTGTGTCTCCTCCTCGGTCCCGACAGCTTAGATCTGACTGAGAGCTGTGGAATGAAAGAAATGGCCCAGAATGAGAGCTGTTCTTCCACAAGATCCAAGAGTTTGATTCCCAGCTCCAGTACCAGGCACCTTACACAACTGTCTGTGAATCCAGCACAAGGGAGTGGACGCCTCTGGCCTCTGCAGAAACTTGTACCTGTGTGCAGACACACACAGAGATAAATCTTTAAAGAGTATGGAAAGATATAATTAGAAGGGCATTTGGTCCGTAAACCACTTGGTTCTCAACTTCCCAAACTTCCTAATTCTTTGCTTACTATTTTTGTCCCCTGCAGGAAAAAGGCATGACAGTGAGACAAATACTGAGTTTGGCTTATGCAGGAGTAGGCTGAGACCAAGGCACGCTCACTACTGAGGAATGTTTCTGTAATCTAAGGCTGACATCATCTCCCTGTGAGGTGCAGGAGACAGAAGACAGGGTGAACATGCTGTGGCCTGCTCTCCTACACTACAGCATCCAGTGCCTCACTGACAAAGCCGGGGGGGGGGGGGGGGGGGCGGCGGCTGAGAGCCACCCACAGTGCACCAGCAAGTCACCTGACTGTGGCTCCCTGGACAAAGACACATTAAACCAAACAAATGGCACCTGCAAGTTGTGACTTAGGAAAAATACCTCAAGACACTGCTGTCAGTTCACATGTAAACCACCCCAAAGATTTAAACATAACTCATGCTCTTCAAAGGAAGCTCTTACATGCCTACGTTAAGAGGAAAAGCAATGCATCTTGATATAAGCAAACAAACAGAAGAGCCTTTACCTATGTAGTACTTCATCTCCGTGTCGTGTTTGTTCATGAGCTCAAGCAGCCGCACTTCTATCTGCGCTTGGTTCAGAAACGCCTTCTTGTTCTTTATGATTTTAATGGCTACCCATTCCTGCTCAACTCTATCATATGCTTTCACGACCTGCAAGCAAAAAGAAGTGATCAGCAGCTTCATTAGTACAGCTGTGCAAGTTTACATTTCTCCAGACTGCACTCTACCTCGCTTTCACTCAACTGCACCTTCTTCACATGCTTCTGAACGCAGCTGCTTCTACTCCAGATCATTCACTACAAGGCAGCTAACTCCACCGTGGCTGAACTTCCTTGTGTACCCTCAGTGTTTCCAGAGAGACATAGAACAGACAACTGTGTTAAACTGTCTTCCTCCTCAGAAACAAAATGACCCCTGATGACTGCTCAGGTTAATTTTCACTCTTTCTTACTGAACAAATATATGTGTGTGTATGTGCGAGTGTATGTGTGTACATGTAAATGTGCATGTATATGTATGTGCTTTTACTTTTTAAAAATAAAACAACTAGCCCAACTCTCGAGGATTTTTTTATTGTTACTGGGAAGACAGGGTATCAATGTATAACCTGGCTGGCCTAGTGAAGTCGAGTGAAGACCAAGTGAAGTCAAACACGCATCTTCCTGCCTCTCCCTCTCCAGTTCTGGGCTTACAGACATATATCACCATTTCCAGCTCAACTATTCTTTCAATGTAGAAAAACTCTGATTTAATCCTAAGAATACCTAAGAGTCTAATGCTTCTCAGAAAGTAGATAGAGTTCTAATGTTAAATTAGATTCTTGTACATAAAAACGATACAAGAGAACTAGTATATTTTAAAAGTCAGCGAGAAAGCACTATGAGAATGTTACAATTAGAAGAAATTTTAAAATTCTTCTACCCAAACATTAATATTAGACCTGTTTAATGCACTACACACTTATAACATAATACAGTCTGAAGAGGCAATGGTTTTAGATACATCTGACCACATATCAAAGAGTTTGGAGGTGGAAGGACCTCAAAAGACCCCAACATGAAGCCTGACGACCACTGGTTCAGGAAAGGGGAACCTGTGCCCACTCCCAATCAGCCCGGAGCAAATATACAGAAATACTGAGTGATACACGGGTGAGTGGAAACTGCACTCTTGTGAAAACCATTACCACTGTCTCTTATGCCAGAAGCTACACCAGTGAACATGTGACCAACAGTTCTGATATTCTCCTACTCTGGTGACAATTCCACTCACTTTAGCAAGACAGGCAAGTGAGTACCTGTGTCCAAAGGCCTACAGAGTAAAGGCTGTTCACCAGTAGAGAACCCACTGACTTAACAAGTAGCTGGTTGCTCAAATGCCTGTGGGTGTGGGGTAAGAGTGTGTGTTATCTTGATGTGCACACTTAGTAGCAACTTTTAAAAGTGTCAAGGCATGAAATCCAGCCACAAACAAGGCTTACTTTAACTAGGCCTATGGTTCATGCTTCTGGAAATTTTCAATGTATAATCAGGACTAGTAAACAATGGCTAAAAGAAATAATAATAAAAAAAAATTTCCCTGATTTGACAGACCTGACAGAAAACTAATATAAATTTGGTCACATTAGGACCTGAATGGCAGGTCCTAGCTGAGAATGTAAATACTGTTCATGATAGCTAAGGAGTGAACAGTCAGCATAACCAGGTAAACAGAACCAAGTGTGCCTGTGTGCTCAGAAGGTGCACCTCTGCTCTGAGCAAAGGGGCACAAGAAGGCTAGGGTGGTGAGGGAATGAATGCACAGGGGCTGGGATGGGAACAACAAGAGGACAGGTCCCGCTAGGTCCTGCCCCACCACAGCTCACGGCACGGCACTCCTTCTGTCTGGAGGGCCCTCAGCCCTCACTGAGAGGCAGGCCTCACCAGGGCTATGCTCAGGGCTTTACAGAGAGCAAAGACTGTCTCTGAGACACAGGAAAACATTCCTAACAAGTGACTCCTAAAACACTGGGAAAGCCTTGACTCAGAAGAAAAAGGTGGCAGAGTCCTTTCCCTGCACACAAAGCCGCAAGACGCCAGCAGGTCCTGAGGACCTGGCTGAGCCGCACAGAGCTAGAGGCCTCAATGGTGCCGGCCTATCTGCACCCATATTATCAGCACTCTGCTAAGTGTCGGTCTACGGCCATGGCTGCCAATATACTTGAGTCCTTAGCATGACTAGATCTGACCTATGACTATTACCTCCACAGTTCAAAAGAGCGTACTCTGCCTCTCTCCCGGCTCAGAGGAAGAAGCACATGCAGACCCTACAGGCATGTGTCTGTCTCCTGAGACGTGCTCTCACGGTATACCCCAAGCTGGTCCCAAGACACCATGCAGCTCAACATGAATTGAAACTCCTGGTACTCCTGCCACAAACCCCCAAGTCTCAGGGTTACTACACCCAGTTCTACAGTTTGTTTTTCATCAAAGCAAAGGGAGAATTTTATGAAAAGTCACTTGAGCCCCACTTTATTTTACTCAGTAAAAAACTAATTCATATCACATTCTATTCCCTAACTTAATAGCATTAAAAATAAATCAAAGCTCTAACAAAAAGAGCGCAGTGGCCTAATGAGATGGCAGGCGGGCCGTTGGGGGCAGCTAGAGAGAAAGAAGTGGCATCTGTTGCAATCTCAGTACTTAGGACTGAAGCAGGAATGTCCATGGCCAACCAGGGCCTTTGGAGACCCTGTTTCCAAAGAAGGAAGAACTGAGAGGGAATGGCAATTTCTGGGTGAGATAAGGTCCACATGCGAACAGGAGAACTGAGAGTGTAGATAAGGGGCTGAGAATGAAGAGAAGAGTCAGGTCCGCTGCAGTCACCACCCACAGGACTGTCCCTGCTGGTGCTCTGGGGTGGGAAGGAGAACCCAGAGCACAGCCCCAGCCAGAAGAGGAAGAAAGAGTGCTTGCTTGCTGCCCGAGAGGTCTGGTCAGGCATAAGACACCATCTCTAAATCAACAATGAACAACTGGTTAGACTTAGCCCTGACAGGGGTAAGACTAGCTGTTAGCAATGAAAAGTAATCTCTTAGTCACCACCTAAAAGTAGTCAGTGGCAAAAGAAACATTTATAAAAATAAGAGTTACTGGAATTTTTATGGCTGGAGAATTATGATCATTTAAATATTTAAATATACACTGTTCACATAAATGTATTAGTATCAAAAATGTGTTACTGAGGATTTACTATCACGATCAAGTAGAAATTTTAATTAATGAAATTCAAGCATTCTCCATTAAATTACCTGTCCAAATGAACCTTTGCCTATTAAGGAGTCAATTTCATAACGGTCCATCCACTTTTCTCCGTTTTTCACAATATAATCATAGTTATCGTCATCATAACCATCGTTGTAAACCTTCCGCTCCTTCTTATGACTGGAATCGTCTCCCTGGCCTTGTTGGTGTCTTCGCTTCTTTTTTGCATAGTAAACCTGAAAGGAGCATTACAAAGTTAACTGTGAATTAAATTACTATTGAGGATGTATGTATGTTCCCAACAAATCAGTATGAAATGAATGAACTGTTCTTTTCTAGTAAAACAATCCAAAACAAAATAAACATCTTCTGCAGTTACCATCCGAATGCAAATATATACATAACCATATGGACATGTGCATGATGGAACGCACTGCAGACACATTTCTAAACAAGAGGTCTTCAGTACCTGGCCCAAGACATCTCATGAAGATTCAAAGTACCTCACACTTGTTAATGTGTGGCGTTATTCACATACAGTGAGATCACACAGATCTTAGAGATACAAAGAGGAAGGCAGGCACAGTGGTGCCCGCCTTTAATCTCAGCACTCAGGGAGGCAGAGGCAGGCAGATCTTTGTGAGTTCAAGGTCAGCCTGGTTTATAAAAGAGTCTACGACAGCCAAGGCTACACAGAGAAACCCTGTTTCAAAAAACCAAAAAATAAAAATAAAAAAATACAAGGAACCCCCAAACAGAAGAAGCAACATTTCATTCCCTCAAAGTTGAACTCAAAGTTCAAGGTCTTCTGTGACCTCTTCTCCAGGTAATACTAATATTTAATATCACAGCAAAAGATTTTTTGAATGCCAATGAATTGATGTTTTACTAAGATAATCCAATTTCTATGTTGAGTAAAAACTGGGTAAAAATCCATACCCATTCCTTTTAAAGCTATTAGGTGACAAGAGTAACATTCCAAGAAATTGGTGCCTTGACACACAGTGACCAGGCATCTGATAAATGAGCTTCAACAAAGATGCTATTAACAACAGTTTAACACCCCCCCCCCCTTAACAAACTGACATTGATACACTGTAAGAAACAATGTCTCAGATATCTCCAGGTAATCGCAGGTATAATAAACAAGTGTGCAAATCTACCTCAGGAACATTCACTGAGGCTTTCTCCTTTTGCCCTGACATGTTGCCTAGTAGGCACTAGAGGCACTGAACCACTATAACATGTCTGTAACTAAGGACACCTTCCGGGCATGTGGCTCCGGAGCTGGCAGAAGGTAAGCCTTCTTTGTCAAGAGCTCCAGTGGAGACGCATGGCCTCTTCTGGGCTTTGTTAGAACACCCCCACTTCACAATTAGCTCTAACACAAGAGCAGATGCCAGAAGCAAATGGCAGTCAGGTAGAAAAGGTCCAAATACCAGAAAATAAATTTTAGTGGCAACAATTCAAGTTACAAGGGAAATATTTCAACAGGCTTAAAAAAAAAAAAAAAATCCTGTTTACAACAATGTAAGTTTTTGAGTATCTTACCATGGAAAAACAGAGATAAAAGAACACACACAGCCAGGCATGGTGGCTCACACCCGTAATCCCAGCATTCAGCAGGTTGAGGCAGAAGGACTGCTGTGAGTTCAAGATCAGCCTAGGCTACAGAGTGTGATCCTGTCTTGAAAACAAGTAAATAATTTTTTTAGAAAAGTGTAAAAAGAAATATGATTAGTTAAAATAAAGCAGATCCTTTTAGCTTAATATCCAATAATGTCAGGACTTCAGCAGAAAAAAATATATATGTATTCTTCATACATATGAAAATTTAAGCAAAAGTCTACTGCCTACATACCTAATTATGTAATTATTAGTCACTCCTTGCTCTGAGGAAAAGCTATAGAAATAACTTAGTGCAGTAAATACGCCTTTGGAAAAGAGGACATTACCCACAACAGCCCTCGTTGATACATTTTCCATAGTTGTAATATCTATAAACAATTAACTTTGTAGAATTAATAATACTCAGGTATTATAATCATTAGAAATACAATCTGCTTGTCTAAAGAGGCAACAAAAACTTGTCCCTTGATGTACTGACAATAGAGAAGACACCATGGCAAATCAACACTCTTACCTCATTAATATGCTTGTATGTTTTGATCAAGTCGACAGAAAGTTTCCTCAGAGGAGCAGCTGCTGGATCACGGAAGGTTTGGGGCATCCGCCTCTGTAACATGACAATGTCAGGCATCACCTTAAATAGACAGAAAGACTAGCAGTTTAACTACACTGTGTAACAGCTGTGTGACAGCTCTAGCACAGCTTAGTCAAGATCCCGCTACCAAACCTAGCAGGCATCCCTCTACCAAACGCCTCATCAGCTCTCTGCTGTAACCTAGGAAGGGCCTGCTGCCACGGCTACTCAAGCCCCCTCGACCAATGTCTAGTAGTAACGCCTTTTCTGAAAAATTAGTAGATTAGTCTATAAAATCTCAAAGTGACTTCTTTTATCTGGATTCTAAGAGAAACAACTTCTGAAGCAAATAAATGAACTTAGAAGAAACTGTGGCCAGTTATCTAGGTTTAGACGTGTTTCCGCAAACAGTGCATTTACAGGTCCATCCATGATCCCGGAAACATGTGATGCCACCCACATACCTCCTCTACATACACTTCGTCCTATGACAATTTCTTTTCTAAAACCTGACTGGTTTATAACAGGGGCTAAAAACACACCAAGCACTGACCAACCTCGGCTTCTTAACCCAGCCGACCGAACACAAGGCGGATGCTCAAAAGTATGGCTTAGCGTCCCCGTGTGCCCGCTCCTGTTCCAGAACAAGATTGAAAACGGCCCAGGAATGGCCATGTCCCGGAGCCCTCCCGCAAGCAGCACTGTGCACACTCTGTCTAAGAGAAAGTGCTACTCTACACACTTCTACGTGACAACACAGAGCACTGCCCTGACCAACTGACCAAGGCTCTCAGCCAGTACAGCTGAATAAGGACACCGCCAAAGGACATGAGGAATGCACAGAGACAACCCTAAACAAAAAACCCACAAGCAATGAAGGAATGCTGAGACAGGAGACATCCCCAACAAAGAGCACCAACTGTTACCCAATACCAAATGCTCAGCCCTGAGAACACGCAAACAAGTACCACCACTGAGACTGAGCAGGTGATAGTTAGATAGCTACACTTTACTCCAACACTATTTTCTATTTCATTCATTTTACATCTAGTGCCTATCTTCATTTATAAGGAAACAGAATGCTATTTTCTGCCTTTCTGCTACTCTCAGAGAGGTCACCGAAGTGCAAGAAACAGCACTTAACACTCACATCCAGGGGAATGGCGGAGCTCAAGATGCCGAAAACTGTACTAGCTAGAGATCAGGGTTCCACTGTGAATCATGCTCGTCCACACTCACCTTGATTATAATTCTCATTTCCTAAACATTTTTCAAACAGAACCTTTTATATTTGTACTCAACACACTTATAGCTGGCCAAAGTGGGGCACACCTGTAATCCCAGCACTTGGGGAGGCAGAGGTAGCAGATCTCCGAGTTCAAGGCCAGCCTGGGCTACCAAAAAAAAAAAAAAGGCAAGAAAAAGAAAAACAAACCCTGCCAGACAGGCAGAGTCTGCGTGTTTTTAACTCAAGTCCTACAAGCAGACCTTGGCTAACACCACATCCCCAAAGCATACTCCTTGGTACACGGTGTCCGTGCTAAGGAAGACAGATCCCTTCTTCAAGACTGCCTAACTAGACTCAGAAACATTTGGACTTTGAAACTTAATACTCTTTTGTGTGTTTTTCTGTGCCCTGGCTGCCTCAGAACTCAGTATGTAAACAAAGCTGGACTCAAACTCAGAGATGGCTGCCTCTGCATCGCAGTGCTGAGACAAAAGGTATGCGCCACCACACCAGCCTCGACGTAAGTCTTTTTACATCACATGAACTTATGGCTTAAGTAAGACATAATAAGCAAAACATCTTTTAAATGCTTCAAGACATTAATTGGCTATGAAAACTGATACTCGTAACTAAATCATCCACTAACAGGATATGGTGATAAAGACAATTTTAAAGGAATTGTTTCTTGCTCTCTGTAAATGGCAGTTATAAATTCAAGAGCACTGTCTGTAAGGAAGCAGGCTGGACTCTGAGGTCTGCCTCTACTCATACATACACAACTCAAAGCTGGACAGCCAGTCTCTTCAGCTGGAAAACATATTAGGCAACATCTATGTGACACGCTGATGTGAAGCACGTGGGAGGATGCCCCGAGCGAGTTCTGCTTCTTCGGAGCACACTCCGAGTGGCCGCGTGTGCTCTGGGGACTCAATGCTTCTCTCTGCGCTCCCCTCTGGTTCATGATTAAGAGCTTTCTAAACGTGAACATTCTGATGAACTGCCTCAAGTGCCAAACATGGGCCTAACTTCTGAGTCACCTGACTGCAGAAAACAAATCCTAAGCCCTTCACGATGCTGCTATCCCGTCTCTATGCTTTGCTAGTGCACTGGGAGAGGCTACTGACACAGAATGCCCATAATGCAGACGCTCAACCATAGCTAACTACTCATTTAAACTCACACATCGCTCAGCCAGAGAAAACATATTTCACTTAACTAATCCACTGTAAAAAGTACTTGTCACCCCTCCCTTGCTCTGCTAAAAGAGCTGAGTACAGCAATGGTCAACTAGAACCCTAAATCTGAAGAGCAGTCCTATTCCTTACTCAGCAGATAAACTCTACCTCACACACAGCCAGTGACAAGACTTCCCCCAAACAGTGGCTAAGGAAAGGCACAGCTAATACAGACACTACGATGCGCCTACGCGTGCCCATACAGTGCGCTCACAGAGATTTCAGCATTCTTCTCAAACTCTCACTCAGGAAAAACTGCTGGATCTGTAGTCTGAGTATTAGAATAAACAGCATGCTTAATATTCACATATTCTTCCTTTGAATCTTAAGGACTTTTGTCTATAATCTTATAAATGTAAAAAGTCACTTTTAACATAAAATCAGTTCCCACGAACTGGGTGTAACTCTTACTTTCCTGTGCCTTTCTTCAATTACCTTTCCATAAATGATTTTTTATTTTAAACCCTCTTCTTTAAAAATAATAATTTCCTCTTCTTTATTTCAGAACAAGAAGCTGTGCTTTTTCTGAGTATCCTTCAATGAAGTGAAATTCACATGACCAGCGGGTGAGGAGAATCAACAAACTTAAATACAAACTTCTAAACACCATGTTCTGTCTACCAACTCTTCCATTTAGCACGTAAAACTAAAGCTGTTTTGGCATTTTACTGATCTAGTATTTTCAATACGCTGTAATTTCAACATCCTTTCTGATGATAGTGAAATTACCTGGTTAGGTAGAGGTTGCTGAATCTGGTCAGAATATGATAAGGCAGGAAGCTGCTGGTCACTTATGTTTGGCTGGCGACGGTCACTGTACTGATGTGAATGGGGCATCTGTCCAGCCATCTGAAGGCCAGCAGCGTGGAATGAAAATGACGGTGCGAGCCGAACAGATGAAGGTTTGCATGCTGAAGTCTCTCCTCCTGGGAACACAGACGTGACGTTTTAACAAGTGTTCACATCCTACTGCGTCATGTGACGTATGTCAGCCATTTAAATTAGTGCTTTAGGACATTCGATGACACCAAAAACCTCTGTAACAACCAACAGGTGTAGTCATTCAACATCACAGCTATATATTAAAAGAGTATGAGACACAATCTAAATTTCTTTTGAGTAAGCTTTCGGAGAGCTTTTGCCAACAAACAGTAACAACTTATATATTACACTCATTTACTACTTTTATTTTGTGAACGTGTGCACGTGCACACACGGAGTTCAGAGAGCAGCCTGCAGGAGTAGTTTCTGTACGTGTACCATGTGTGGCTTAGGGTTTAAAGACAGGCCATCGGATTTGGCACCAAGTGCCTTTACACACCGAGACACCTCGGCAGCCCCAAAGTAGCACCTTTTCTTTGTTTGTTTTGTTGTTGTTTTGTTTTTAGAGACAGAATTTCTCTGTGTAGTCCTGGACTCTGTAGCCCAGGCTGGCCTGGAACTCACAGAGATCTGCCTGCCTCTGCCTCCTGAGTGCTGGGATCAAAGGTGTGCACTCGTCCAAGTAACAACTTTGACTACTTCTTCTCACATATGAAATTCAACACTTCTTGAGAAGGGCCTTGCCAATTAAGCAGCTCCTCACCAACAGTCTGAAAGCACAGTGTTGACAAGGAGCATCAGTGGCTGACCCACTCCACAGCCGGGGAGAAAACTGCAACATGATGTTCTGCACCGACAAAGGGAATCAAGAGTTGAGCAAAAGCCGGGTGCAGTGACGCACTTCTGTAATCCCAGCACTCAGGGAGGCAGAGGCAGGCAGATCTCTGTGAGTGTGAGTTCAAGGCCAGCCTGGTCTACAAAGCGAGTCCGGACAGCCGAGGCTACACAGAGAAACCCTGTCTCAAGCCCCCCCCTCAAAAAAAAAAAAAAAAAGTGGCAACCTAGGGAGGGAGGAGGGAGAACAGAGCACTCAATAATCACCCACCAGGTAAGCTAGGAGCCATGATTATACTACCCACAGCAGAAAAGGAAGATGAACACTGTAAGTCCACAGAACCACTGATGGCTGACTAAGAAAAAGTAATCCTTCCTTAAAAAAAGTTTCTTATCTCTAGCCAAACTTGTTATTAGAAAAGGCAGATTTAAAACCCTGGTTATGGGGTGGCGAGATGACACAGAGGCTAAGGGCACTGGCTGCTCTTCCAGAGGTCCTAAGTTCAGTTCCCAGCAGCCACATGGTGGCTCACGGCCATCTATACTGGGATCTGATGCCCTCTTCTGGTGTGCAGGTGTACACACAGATAGAGCATATATATAAAATGCTCATATAAAATAATAAATCTTTAATACCCAATTCTAGCCCCCAAATACTTGTGTCTCAACTTACATGAATGTCCAGTTCACCAGACCACACTGCCCAGAACAGGACCCTGTTCTCTCTGCCCAGAGCTGCTGTTTTAAAGGCTCTCAGCAAGAGCGCGGCTAAGGCAGGCTACAGTCTAAACCTCAGTCTACCGCACATCTGTAAGATCCCTCCACGCCCAGCTCCATGACAACAGAAACTACCTGACAATGGTGCTGGGCAGGGAGCAACCCTAGGAACCTAGACATGGCCAAATACTGTCACCATCACTGCACACCTAGCACCCAACTTTACCGAGCTGGAGCACAAACCACGTGGACACTGTGTAGCCTGGCAAACCACATCACCTAACTGAATGCGAAACGAAGCCTGCAGACTCCAGAGAACAAAGCTCAGGCCCCAGAACTCCAGTCTGCTTCTTCCTTTCTACCTCAGCAAAGGCCCACGCCATCGTGAACAAACTCTGGAGTCACAGCAGAGGGTCCTCGCCACAAGCCACCTTACCATCAACCCCCAGTCTTGGGGATTCCATTTCCTAGAGAACACGCAAATGCAAGCGCTTCCCCTTTCTAGCATCAAGACAGAGCCCTGTTGGCTGCTTACCATCATCAGCATGCGTGCACCTCTGCATTTTCAAAAGATGGGTTGCTAGAGTGACCTTCCTAGAATAGAGGGCTCAGACTGCCACCTTCTGCAACCTTTCTTTGGCACTGTTGTCACATCAGCTTGCCTTGACTATGCTGTAGCTATACTGAGAGATTAGACAAGTCAAGTGACATCAAACCGACCTCAGGAGATAATAGAACTTTTTCCAAACTTTTCATTTTCAGTCAATTAAATACAGAAACTACTCAATTAAGGGGAAAGAATTAACATCCAGAAAGTTATCCTAAGTAACTGATGTGAACAAAGATGACAGTCATGAGTAACAGCAGAAGCTCAGAATCCTACTTGTCAAACAGTGTGGAGAAGGGCTGTAAGTCTCCATGCTAAAAAGACGGCACGTCAACGAAACTGGAGGTCCCTAATACATGGAAACCTTCAGCACTAGCACGATGAAAGGGTGAACCACTCTGGACCTTAGTTTCCTAATCACTAACCGTACTCAATACCACAAGTCTAACGAGGGGCCGTCCGCAACTGGACATGCAGACTCAGACAGAGCTTCACAGTCAACGTCTCGAAAAACAGCTGATATACTACCTTAAAAAGATCTACAAGACAATTAATTAACTGCTTTTGCGTTGCTGTTTTCAGTTGTGTTAGCTTAGCACTCAGGAGGCAGGGTTCAATGCCATCCTGGTCTGCTCATCAAGTTTCCAGGTCAGCCAAGATTAAATGTCTTAAATAAATAAACAAAAAGGTGGAAAGTTGTTCCCCAGATGACTCCACAACAAGCACGGTCTGACCACACAGCATGCTCGAGGCTCCCAACACACTTTCCTTATCAATTGGGGGGAGGGGGGGGAGACCCTGGCTGAATGAGTATCTGTGTGCACACGGGTGTTTTCTTGTCCATATGTGCTGCATGTTAGGTGATAAAGAACCTGATGATACTCCTTTTACAATCTGCCATGAGTCCGTCAATAAATGCAGACTCACAGGAACAACTATCTTTCTCTTCTGGGATTATTTTAATTAAATTTTTATTTTTTTATATTAATTACAGTTTATTCGTTTTGTATCCCAGCTGTAGCCCCCTCCATAATTCCCTCCCAATCTCACCTTCCCTCCCTCATCTCCTCCAGTGGTCTTCTGGGATTTTAAAGCCCTTTATCGTGCTGTGTATAAGAAGATATACTTGATATGTTCATTATCTTATGTGACACTCAATTCTATATATAAATGCGAGAAATCAGAAGGTTCATTTCCTCCCACGATACCAATAAATATTTACGGTATCTGTTGGAGTTGGTCTAGTGCTGTTTGTTCTAATACTAATTACTGACCCCCCCAGGATCTGGTTGCTGCCCAGGTGAGCACATTCTCAAGTACACCTGTCTTTGTTGTGTAAACCTTGCTCTACCTAATTTAAAGTTGACTAGTTAATAAAGATGCTGAAGCCTGTGACTGGGCAGAAGAGAGGTAGGCAGGGCTTAGGTTCTGGGGCTTCGGGTCTGAGAGGAACCACCAGGTGGGAGGATGAGGAGAGGCAGCAGAAGATGTATGTAACAGGAGGAGAGGAAACTGAGAGAAGAAAGTCGCCATGGGGCAGTATGGACCATGAGCCCGCGGCCATGAGAGCTAGCCTGATAGAAGGGAAACAGCCCAGACAGGAATGACTAAGGCAAGAAACACGGGGTGTGTAGCTGGAAAACAGCCAAGGAGCTTAGAGGGTTGAAACCTGCCAGTTACTGTGCTCTAGCGTGTTTCCATTCTAACAGGCCTCTGTCTCTACTATCTGGGAACTAGCTGGGGTAAAGAAGCCCAAGACTGTACTATCAGCCCCACAGCAGGCATCCACTCACCTACTCCTTTGCTACTATAAGATTCCAAGAAGACAAACTAGTGCAGACATTTCTCTCAACCTGACAGTGAATGAAGCAAATTACCATGTACGTATTCTTCCTACACTTTCTACCTCCATTCACACTCAAATGTTAATTTAAAAATGGACACTCCTAGCAGAGATGGTAAGTTAATAAAAACTAGGTGGAACCAGACAAATTTGCTGGAATTTGGCTTCCTTTGGGCTCTAAAGTAGCAATGCTGTATGATTCAACCCAATACCTACCACACTACAAATGATCCTTACCACATTAAACCAACAAGCAGCTATAATATTAGCCTTAGAGCATACAACAACACACACTGGCATATCAACTGATGGAGTTTCCTGGTGAAGCTGTAACAGTTAATTCGAAGCTCAGTTCCACAAGTAGTTCCATTACTGAAGCACATATGCAACATCCTAATGTTCCCTTCATATTCTTCTGAATCCTGTGAACTGTTCTTACCACAAAAGCATGTTTTTAACTTTCAAAAACCCATTAAAAATCTGTTGTCAAATTAACAGCTTGAAAACCAAGTGTTCTGGGCAGAGCTATGGCAGCTAGGGAGCAGGTCCCTGGGGAAGGACAACACTGGCTCTGTGGGACAGTCCACAGCAGGCTGGGGGCCAAGGAGGCGGTGAGACTCAACACTGCAGAGCCAAGCAAGGAGCAGACTGCAGAGCTGTGGAAGGGCTGCCCAGATGTGCACAGGCAGAACCGGCCACTAGCCTGGTATTCCGCACGCCCCCGGGGCACTGGTGTGCAGTGCCCTCCACTCAGCCCCTGAACGTCTGCTACTAAAGTGTGGTAGAAGACTAGTGACTGCATGATCTGTACTAGATTTTAAAGAATATGTATAGCCGACCTAATAACAATACTAAGGAAGAAATAAATGAAAATAATTCCAAGTTAACCCTTAACATTAGAGTGCACAAATATGAAAACTCTGAAGAAATACCAGGAGCAACCAGGTTTGCGTAGAAATAACCTACAAAATTCCCTATCAGGAAAAAACAAATGATAAGGAGGAAAAACTGTCTGAGGAACAGGCAGCTGAGCTGGAAAGCACGGCCTGGGATTAAGAGGGTAACGCTGTTGCTCAGTTCACACCCACAGCAGCAGCCTGGCA